CACAACCATAACTTTGCACAGCTGTTACTTTACACAACAGTAAATGTGTATAACAGTAACTTTACACAACCATAATTTCACATAAGTGTAACTTTACACAACCATAACTTTACATATCTGTAACTTTACACAACAGTAACAGCACTGCAGTCAATCAGCAGCAAAAATCACGTTTCTTTTCATTAGCAGGAATGTTAACAAAATGACAACATGAACAAGTCAGTAAAGTATCAAAGACAACACCATCATGCTGTTGGTGTTTGTACTGAAGGTGTTGTCAGATCTTCATTTATTGAAGACGAGACCTGAATTTTTCTTCGTGTTCAACTAAATTACTGGTCTCCTCTTGCACCTGAGTGAATCGTTCATTTGTTAACACCTAATATTAATATTGACCAGTCAAATTAAAAGAGACGAGCTAGTTTGTGAAAATGCACAAATGTTTTCTCCCCAAGAATATTTAGAGTGATTAGTTGTTCCTCAGTCAATGAAGAAATGCTCTTCAGTTTAAAATAAATTGTACTGGAACACCCAGAAAAACATTTGTTTTTTTTAAATTGCTCACTTGAACGTTGTTCCAAAAGGAGAGTCCTTTACAGCCCAACTGTGTGCACGGCCGATGGTTTTTCTGGTGTGATTAGATAAATAAAATATGTTTGTCTTTGACACAAGAAGGGATGCGCCAGTGCCAAAAATGAATATTGAATTTTTACCCTGAGGGGCAGGAAACACTGGATCGGTGCTGAACTGCTGCTCCCTGCAGCTGAAACAGATCTGCTGCCTGCTGGAGTGGAAAATAACGAGAGGGGCTTTTGATCCCCCGACACTTTTATTTCCACCGTCCTCTTTCAGGTAGACAACATTCTTTTTTGTCATCATCATTTAGCTTCTTCCTGGACTTTTTTCTTTTACTCTTCGTCCTCTGTTATGACGTCATCTTCTTCAGTTATTCCGTGTTGGCAGATTTGATCTCTCAGCTGTTCCTTGTTTGTCTCACTGGTTCCAACAGCTTCTGATTAGACTGAATTAAATTCATTATGCCATAAATCAAAGTTTAGTTCTGCTGCAGTAATAAACACGGTTGAACTACAGGATAGATTTGAATGAAACTCAGGACTTATTGGATGAACATCTACAAATAATTAACTTTTGGAGTCAACCTGATTCAAGATGCTACAGCTAATCATGGCTATGCCTCAGTGAATTTTACAAACATCTGAGCAGAGCTGAGTGTGACACCCAACGCTAATTTGAGCACTAACAAATCGATTAAGGTCTTTAAAACTTTATATACAATGGGCGATATGCATTCCTGCGAGGAGTGCTAGATTTATTGTTGGTGTTGGAACAAGAGCCTTTAGATGTCTTATAGTTCATCTTCTTCTCTTTGAGGGTTATAGAGGATGGGAGGTTGTAAAGTTGTCTTTTGGTGTTGCGTCCTCGATCAGAGCAGAGTCATAAATCAGTTCTCGAGCCGTATGTAACCTTACAGAGCTGCAGCTGGATCATCCACAGATTTAAAGCTCATAAACTGAACCTTTGAACCTGAAACAGGAGCTGCAGCGTTTGTCCTAACGTGAACTGTGTCATAACTGATGAGTTACCGTGTTGAGCTGATTACAACAATCTGATTAGGATCTGTACTCCCGGAGCCAGAGTCGGCCATTAAACCTTCACGACGGCTTCGTTGTTCCTCTTCCTCTCTGCAGCATCTCTCCTGGTGAACGGAGCTGCTGGTCGGTTCCTGTAGTGTCGCTCCCTGCAGGATTTGTAGCTCTGGCTGTGCGCCCGAGCTTCTGCTTTAGTGAAAACTTTTTATATTGGGGCTCAGCGATGCACAGGATCCCCCACTCCCCACCCTCTCGTACTTTCTGCTCAGGGCTCTGAGCTCGAAGTGGAAGCTAATGATGCTCTGAAGTAGGTTAGCAGCCCGCAGTGGAGCAGGAGAACAAATTCAGCTGAAATGAAAACGTTGAACAGCTCAATCAGTGGCTGCGCGCGCTCTTCACACTGTAATTAGAAACGCTGATGTTATCGATTGCACAGCAGCGTTGATTACAACACAAAAGACTGATGCTTTAGTTGTTTTTGTTAAAAGTAGGAGATAAAAAGGATGCGTTTTCTGTGACCGAGCGACGAACGTGTCTGAAATCTGGACAGAAAAACGTAGCGCCGAAACTGAACCGATAACAGGAACACGATTTTGTTCAAACCTCCTGAAACTCTGTTTAT